AACCAAGATACACAGAAATGGAAAAGCACATGCTAGGACAAACAACTGACTTGTATCACTTCGAGTAGCACCTTTCCGAAAAAAGACATACCAAGCATAGCCTCTAGTTTGATGTCATGTATGCAGCAAAAGAGGCATTTCATTGTGTGCCTTATTGCAGTATCTGCATCACCTGGAAAGAGCCCAGAATATGGGAACTACTGGATGGCTCAGTGATTGAAGTATCTGACTGGGAAGCCACAGGTTGGGAGTTTGGTTTCCTGTTGTGTCTCCTTGACAAGGATGAGCCATAGGATCCCTTCCAGGATTGCAGTTCTAAGAGATCTACTACTACTACTACTACTGTTGTTGTTGTTGTTGTTGTTGCTGCTGCTGGTACCTGTAACTGGGACCATGGTTGTTGGAATCTAGCTACGTAGTCTGATGTCAGAACAGTACCACAGGTTGGGAGTTTGGTTTCCTGTTGTGTCTCCTTGACAAGGATGAGCCATAGGATCCCTTCCAGGATTGCAGTTCTAAGAGATCTACTACTACTACTACTACTGTTGTTGTTGTTGTTGTTGTTGCTGCTGCTGGTACCTGTAACTGGGACCATGGTTGTTGGAATCTAGCTACGTAGTCTGATGTCAGAACAGTACTAGGAATGAGGGTACCTTCCAGCTTTGCAGTTCTAAGAGTACTACTACTACTATTGTTGTTGTTGCTGCTGCTGCTGCTACCTGTAACTGGGACAATGGTTGTTGGAATCTAGCTACATAGTCTGATGTCAGAACAGTTCTAGGAATGTGAGGTAGAGTACACTTCCTTAGAAGGGGAAAAGCTGCATCTCTTCACAAACAATTTTATTTTGAATCAGGAGTGAGCTCCCTCTGGCGGGGAATCTGGGAAAGCTACTATAAAGGATATTACTTAAATCAGGAGTGAGCTCCCTCTGGCGGGGAAAGCTACTATAAAGGATATTACTTGATCTAGGAGTGTAACCCTGTATTGCCCTTGGCCATGCTTGAGCTCCCACATGCCAAAGTCTGTCAGAACAATTCTCTGAGCCACAAGAACAAAGCTGACAGTGGAGACAGGCAGAAGATGTGTACTACTTGGTGACACTGTGAAACCTCCGTTCACTGAGTTCTGGAATGGCACTAAGGCATGCATCACTTTAGCCAAATCAGACATCTTACGGAAAAGGCACAGCTAGCACACCAGATTTAACTGTGCAAATACACTCCTGGCCACTGTCAAAATCTGTCATCCAGCCTCAAATATGAATCCTAATGTACAGCCACACCTCTTCAGTGGTGGTAAAATTTCTTCTTTATTTAACTGTGCAAATACACTCCTGGCCACTATCAAAACCTGTCATCCAGCCTCAAATATGAATCTTTGCTACCAGGGATAAATTTAGGACTACTAAGAATCATATTCTTTTTAAAAAGTGTATTACATGAATGTTTGAATTTAGCAAAACAACAACAACAAACAAACGAAAACAAAAAAACGGTGGCATGTTTGTGCATGTATATTTAGAGGCTTTTCCTAATTCAAGTTGTTTGCATTTTGTGTCACAAAATAAAACAAAATAACTTGGACATGTGGTCATATTTTGCACTATCAAAATTGCACTATTTTGCACAATCTAGTTATTTGAGACTCCTTCAAGCCATCTGCTTTGACTAATGAATCATTAATTAGCTGCCTGCAAGGCTTTTGTCTATAGAGGCTGAGATAAGCAATTGACTGTACATCCCTCATGATGATGCCTGAGAACATTACACTTCAAAATAACTCTTCTAGTCTCCATTTTGGGTCGTGTACCAGGCAAGCCTCCTTCAGGAAAGTATTCTGCAGCCATACTGCTAGTACAGAGAAGATGCTCTCTCTGTTGGTCAACAGCTGTATCTCTCTCTGCAGTGCAGTAGAAGGCCTCCAATGGGGACCTCAGCATCCAGTGTAGGGAATGTATGGGAGGAGCTGATCTTCCAGAGAAGTTCCACCAAAGGTCAGAACCTTAAAGGAGAGGTGTGAAACCTGTGACCCTCCTGCTGCTAATTGTGGCCGCCTCTGCCTGAATGATTTGATTTTTGCAAGTGTGATCTGTTCCTCCCTACATTAGCAGCCTACTCGGCTGGGAGGAAGAGAGGAAAGAGTGAGATAGAGAGAGATAAAAAGAAAGATGGTGGCAGAAAGAGAGGAAAGGGATAGGATTAGTCATTTTATTTCCGGCTCTGTGTGAGATCTTTGATAGATCGCTGCCAGCCTGTGCCCTTTAACTGATTACTCCAGTGAGATGAGGCTGATGGGGACGGATGGGATGGGGATAAGATTGATTGATTGATTGATTGATTGATTGATTGATTGATTGATTTATTGCATTTCTATCCCACCCATCTAGACCAAACTGGACAGTTTACAAATGTAAAAACAATAAAACCAAAAAACATATATTATAGATCCAAGATTGTGCATTTCTCTTCACAGCTCTTTGAGTTGTGGAAAAACTCAGGAAGATTCATTAGAAAATTTTAAAAGATGCATCCATATTACAGACAAGAAAAAAGTGATAATTCAAGAAACTGAAAAGACTAATTGACAGAACTGAGCAGTATTGCCGTAGCTTTATTTTTTGTATATGGTATAGTACATATGGAAAATGTTTCTTAATCAGCAACATCTCAGTTATTGTTGGAAACAATGCAGAGGCTGTCTGTGGTCATGCACTGCATTCGCATACAGCAGGTGATCTAAAAAGAAATGCAGATGTTTATGGCCTGATACACATAATCTCTTGAGAAATTTGTGCAATTCACACTATTTGCATTATCATCTGGTAGAAAGTACAGAAGGAAATTTGGGAATAAATGCTAGATCATGCACTGCATTCGCATACAGCAGGTGATCTAAAAAGAAATGCAGATGTTTATGGCCTGATACACATAATCTCTTGAGAAATTTGTGTAATTCACACTGTTTGCATTATCATCTGGTAGTAAGTACAGAAGGAAGTTTGGGAATAAATGCTAGATTTCTTAGCAACTTGTATTTAATTTTTTTTGTTTTATTTTGTTTTATTTGGCCAAGTGTTATTTCCTTCTTCCCTAAGAAAGGGAAAACATTTGGCACAATGTCCATATTCTTTACTGGCACTGGGAAAAAAATCGTATTTGTTACAGCTGCCTGTTAACAACTGAGATGGTTACATTATGAAGATTACTCACAATGTGTATTTTCATCTCTTCAGTATAAAATCCCTGTTGTAGCCAGAAGCAGAAGTATTATATTGAATTAATTTAAGGTTATGTGTATTAGCCTATATGTAAAATAATGCTGTCAATGGCTAGAATTCAATTGATTCTGCATTGCTGAGTGAAAGCTTCATAGGATACTGATCTTTTTATTTGCGGCAGCCAGACAATTTGCTTTTGTAAGAATGAAACCATTTTTACATGTTCTTAATATCTTCTAGTCATGCTTTGAGCTCTGAAATTATTTAAAACCCTTGAGTACAATATGAAATTGTGTGTTTTACAGGCCAAAATAAAACATCTGGAGAGCCAAAAGATTTTCACCTTTTACATATACCAATGGCCAGGAAGTTAATATAATCAATATTCACACTGGTCAAAAACAGCCTTGACAATTGCTTTGTGTCTGGGTTAGGTGAACAGATGAAAAGAGGAGTCAGCTTCTACGATTTCCACTCTCTTGCTATCACTTTGTGAATTGTAGTGAGTACAAGAGAGTATCCTGTGTGGACCGTTGGCCTTGTCAACATTCAGGCTGCCCTTGGCTAGATAAGGGTTGAGTCCTTTTTCCTGCTGGCAATGTGGGCAGGATACTGTTCAGCAATATTGGGCCATTCCCTGGTGTTTTGTATAGGGGATACAGAAGCACAATATTCCACATTCATAAACCAAAGATTTTTTTTTGAAGAATTGAATTTTCTGTGCAATCTTCATTGGGTCCCCAATGTGTTACTGTAGGCAAAGCTGTGTCTGACTATCTCCATAGGGGAGTGACTAAATGGTATTTGTCCCATTGTGTGCTGTGCTCTTCACTGTTTCTTTCAGAACTATACAATGTCCGTGTTAATTGCCAGTAGATCCAATCTTTTGGCAAGAATATGCAGTACACATTGTTTAGCTAGCAGATCTGGTCCTTTTTGCAGCATTTCTGTTCTTACTGTTTTCTCTTGCTTTTGGCTTCTGCAAATGCCTATATATGCCTGTTCTTTGGGGGCAATTTTTGTATGTCCAAATGACATAATTGATGAAGCACAATGTGGGGTGGGGTGTTGGGAGGTAAATCCAGCCCTTTTGCTTGTTTTCTGCTTGCATGGTAACGGCAATTTGTCAATTTATAAAGTAGTTTTCATCTAGCTTCATTGTTACAGCACTAAACTGATACCGGACTGATTGAAATGCCTTTCGTGTCATGTCAATTCAGCACTACTTCAAAAAGGTCTCTGTCTGAAGTCTTGTTATACTACTTTTAAAAGCCAATAAGCATTTGGACTAGCTAGCCTATTTCATCACATAAAATGGACTCTAGTCCATGGACAAGTTTGATACTCTGTGTTTAAGGTGCTGCACCACTATTTTTTGCTGATACCGGAGATGCTCAGCGAATTACAGGATTCTGCACAGCTGCACTGAGGGTTTCTGCTGTCACCTCTATGGCGGTGTCCGACTGCGGGACTGTGAAACAACCCTTCGGTGATCAACTCGAATTCCAGATGTCAACCAAGGGACCAAACTAGGAAAGGATTCCCAACACTTGCCTCCCTTATAACCCGCACTGAAGCAACCAGCCAATGAAGACGCGGGAGGAGGAGCTACGCTCCCCTCTTCTCGCATTGGCTTTTCCGCCCCGCTCAGCCCCGGCGCGTCAGGGAGGCAAACGAAAACTAGCCCCGCCCACTCTCGTTAGCGCCACGTACCTTCACCCGCGCAACGCACCTTCATCCCTTTTTTTTCCTCCACTCGCGCAACTGAACCTGACTGCTTTGAGGTGGCCCAATCGTAGCCCTACGCGATGCCCAGAAGGAAGGCGGGCTCCGCCAATCCGCGTGCTGCAAGGGGTGGTCCCTATTGCTATGGGAACGGGAAGTAGGATTTGCTAGAGACCAGCTTCAAAGGGGGGTGGGGTGTATCACCGGTGGCCGGAGAAGAGGAAGAAGCAGCAGCAGAAGAAGAAGAGAAGGAAAGGAAAGGAGGAACGCGAGAGTGAAAAGAAAGAAAGGTCAGGAGAGAAAATCGAAGGAAGGAGAACTGTGGAACTGTGCTGCTCCTGCTGAGGGCTCTTCTAGCAAGCTGCTACACATCACTGGGGAAAAGGCTCATCAGCTGAAGGCAAAGGAAGATGCTCAGGGTTCTTCTCTCCCCTGCCTGTCTAGCTATGAATCATTGCCAGATGAAGGTAAGGTATCCTTTAAAAAAAAAACCGGGGGGGGCGGCTATCCTCACTGGGGCCACGCATCCCCTCCTTCTTTTCCTCTTGGACTCCTGGCACCTTGGGGCATGCTGAGCTGGAGAGCCAGGGAGTCACCCCAAATTTTCTCTGTACCCCACACGTCACTCTAGTAGCACTTTTGATCCGTGGGAGGAAAAAAAAGAAAAAGAAAGGCTGGTACCTTGTTTTGATTTGTTTAGCTAACTGGCTGGTTGCACAGTATGGCAATTGGAGTGAAGATGGAAAGTGTGACCAAGAGATGAGTATGGCTCTTAGTGGCACTGAAGTGTAAGTCCCCTTTTTTTCAGCATCTGGAGAATATGATTACCAAGGTAAGACTGGGGTTGCATTGGTGAAATTGGCCAGGAAGAACAAACAGATCTGATCTGGATAGTCTTGTGAACATGTGTATTCAGAGTTGTCAGTTGAATGGTAGACCACACGCCAGGGAAGCAACTCCCTCAGGAGGGTGTCAGTTCACCTGGAGAGAAAGATTTTGCCTGAACAGATATGTATCAGTGTAATTATTTGAACCCAAGTTGACAAGTGAAGTATGCAAGTGAGAGAGCCAAAGACTATTTGTCAAGCTGTTTTCTCAGAGTGACAGAGGAAATGATCCTGTAAGGAGTGGCAAAGGTGTCTGAACCAAATGTCTGGCACTGTAGCCTGTTGAGGTGGCATACAGAAGCCAGAACATAGGTGTGAACTCCCTGTTTATTTTATGTTGCATGGCTGATGCTGGCTGTTCCAGAACCTGGTCTTTCATGTTCTTATGCAATGTGTGTATCTAATATGTCAGCCAGATCAAAATTAATGGGCTTCCAGGAAATAGGACCTGAGTAATCTTGGAGGGAGAAGAGTCAGATCTCTCCTGGTATTTGAAATATTGCTGTTCTATTGTATTGCACTGTTGCAACAATGGGCCGTGAAATTATGTCAAAGACCTTTTTTTGTTGCACTCTCAGTGTGGTTATTTGCTTCTTTATACTGTAAGTCTGTAAGGCAATTTGCTGAGAATTGTGGTAATGGAGTGAAAAAGTCTTCAGATGCATGAATATGCCTGTATTCCTTATTCCAATATCATTTAGGTCTATGAATCTTTATAGATCAGCTGATTAATGTATATGGAAATGTTTCCCAAATGTGTAAAATCAACCTGCTAAGTTCATTTATAATATGTTTCATCCTAAGTGAACAATACTTTGGTTAGAACTCTTCTTTATTTTCAGATGAATTTTATTGACTAAACAGAGCCAGAGAAATGATTTTCTTATATGATTACCACTGTATACAAACTGATTACTCCACTCTCCTATAATCAGCACACTTTGACACAGATAGTGTTGTGATAGGCATCCTGTCTGTAAATAAGAAAGACTTGAATTGGTTCACAGCTCATTGTTTAAATTAAAAAATATGCTATTTTAAAATTTAACAAAATGAAGTCTCCCCCCCCCCATAACAACAAGACCACAATGAATCCAATAGGTCACTGTTGTGATGCACTATGTTAGAGCTCAGTTGGTTCCTTTACTTGGGGAATCTGATTAGTAAGATGTTTTCTTCCTTATCAGTTAAGTATGAAAAGCAGTTTGATCATTTGTTTATTTAATTAATTAATTTATATACTGCCCCTCTAGGAGAGACACTACTCTGGGCAGTTTACAAATTTCAAAATGTCCATCAAATATAAGTCTTAAGGTTAGCACACCCATAATAAATAAATAAAAAGTTAGGATACTGAGAAGCAGTATGAAAGTCAGTGGCTGTCCACAGTTTCAATAATTTGCCCCATTGCATGAAACAACTTTCAACATTAGTTTAATACCAGACTTTTAAGTCTGTCTTCACATCTTTCTTTTGTGTCTTTTGGTTTATCTGTTAATCCTCTTTGCCAGTTGTGAGCAGTTCTAAGTATATGTAACCTGATTTATTTGTATAATCCTTCCCTACTTATGTTTCTCCTGCTGTGATCTTTCCCATTTTCTGTTTTAGATTGTGAGCTACTTGGGTGCAAAGACCTTGGGCATAGAGGCCCATGAAATGTCTTAAGGCACTGTGTGTAATAAGTGAGAACTGGTAAAGTAGAAATTGGGGGGGGGTATTTTTTTACAGCCCCTTGTCACCACTATTCATTTTACCAGTGAACTTTGGTGGTGCTGTTCTTTTAAGAGTGCTGTTTCGACTTTAAATGAGGTGTTGCTCCTCACCTGCCTTGTGTACAGGTGGATCTGAGTTCCTGGAGGCCCAAATCTATTTGTAAGCAAAATACACAGAGACTGCATGTGTTGTTTAAAGACACTGCTTTTCATGTTACTGCATTTTGGCAGTAAAATTTGCACCTGCCACAGGTTTCAATGCGAAAGAGCTCCTGGGGCTGATGAATGAATTTATTTACAGTATTATGGTCAGGTGACCAATTCATAAATGGTTAAAATATACAAAATGCAGTTTAAAAATATACAACCAATTCATAAAACGTATTATGTGGGGCTGATTATTCGTGGTATGTACAAATAACAGTTACATTTCTCCCTTCAGTAACACTGGGTTAAGGCACCAGACCCATGTGCAGTTCAAAATACATGTATAACTCCTATGCCCCCCAAACATAACTGCAAAGCATAAACAGCTCCTGACATGCTCCAGAAGCCTCCCCAGCCGCCACATGGAGCAGCCATGACAGGAGAGGGGGCCGACTGGGTTACCACAATCAGACCAGGGACCACTGCACTGCCATTGAAAGGGCCATTGATAAATTGAGACTCATCTTTCTCTGGCCATTTCCTGGACATGAATAACAGCACAGTATTTATTGAATATTTATTTATTTATTGAAATATTTATATATTTATGGGGAAAATAAACATGTATAACCAAAACTGTGCTGCTCAGATCTGTAAATATAACAGACAAATTTTACGTCAAGCTACTTCTCTCTGATCAAGATTCTCTTATTACACGCTCTGCAGCAAAATTTTGTGCAGGAGCCATGGCACAGCCCTCCCTTATAGTCTCCTGAGGTCACAAGTTGATTTGTTTTAGCATGAGCGTGGTTTATTGTTGAGTATAGAGAAATTTTGTGGTCCCAGCCGAAGGGATGACATGTTTACAAATGCTTACAAATACATATGAAGGATTCCCTATACCCCAAAGAGCCTGTCCAATCCAGGTTGATAAACACACACTAAATAAATGTGTATATATTAAGTTTTCACTGCTGTTGGATGTAGCAACACTATTGTTCTCTTAACTTTGAGGTAAAGTACAACCACAGACCACATTTTGACTGTTTAATGTTGAAACTGCAAGTAACTACCTACTTTTGGTAAGGTCTTGCTATTTTGAAACTTACAACACTTTCTTAACAGGATGTAATTAACCTGGAGGCAATAAGTGAAGGTGAAATATTGTGAGAGTGTCGAAACATCTGAGGTACATATCACAAAGTGTAATAATGGAATTTTTCACAATTTCTCTTCAGTTTTTGGAAAAAGCAGTGTTTTTACATTATTTCTGAACATTAGGCTTAGGAGAAGCACAGGAAGAATATTAGTGCTGTTTTAATATGTGAGCTTTCAGTGAAGATTGGTGAAGCTATCAGGTTACTTTACGGAAAATGGTATGGGCTTGGTTGTAGAGTATAGAGATCCCCTGTACCCCTCCAACTGCTCTTGTTCCTTACCAACATCCTGATGGCAATAAGTGCAAGAAAAAATAAAGAAACTAATATCTTGGGAACTGACAGGATTATTGATTAAATGTAGTAAGAAAGAAAGTGCAAGTTATGTTTTGCATGTGACATTTTAAGTATGATTGCTGGATATCTCAGCGAGGGTGCAATTAGACAGTCAAGTTATCTCATTTGGCCCATTCCTCCATTCTCCCGCATCCTCTCCCCTTGTGCAGGGAATGAGGGAAAGCTGGACTTTAAACATTTTTGTTGATGAATGACATATCACTTCACTGGCCTACCGCTAAAATAACAGCAGCACTTCATGGGGGGATCCCCTTGTATATTCTCTTCTGTGGAGAGGAGGGAAGGCTGGATTTTTAAAATTATTTATTGGTAAGTGTCTTATTTTGTTAGCTTGCCATCCAAGTAATATAATACTGAACGGTAGAAGTAAAAATTACTAGTACAATTACCAGTACATTGTGCAGTTGCTGGATTATGTCAAAAAAGCAAGATAAAGCACCATAGGATTGCACCCTGAGGTAGAGATTTGGAATTTGGTTGCTCACTATGCCTCCTGGGAGAAGAGCCAGCCTCTATAGCCTTGGACAAGCTGAACAGTCCTAGAGCATTCCCAGAAGAAAGGAATGCTAAACCACTTCTAAGTACTCTGTACATATAAAACTATGAAAAGGGCCACGATAAGTCAGAACTGCCAGGTTGTAATTGTTAATTATTTGATCACAGGTTTGTGCCATTTGTATATTTTATCTTTAAAATATTGTCCTTTTCTTCTTGGGTTCTTTTATTAAAGGCCAATTAGTTTTAACATAGAGAAGGTATCTAGGAAGAATTTTGTAAATGAAAAAGATCATAAACTGTACAGAAATGTGGTCTCTTTGTGAAGTACATTACTTTTCTTCTTGAGTAAAAGATAATGTACACAGTCTGTCTTGCTCCTAGATTAGAGTGTAGAAAAACTTTCAACACCCAACAAATGCTTCTATTAAGAAATAAAAAGTCAGGGTATTTGTAAAACTTCACTTTCCCATTTTGAGATCATGTACAGTAAAACCTCAAAGAAAGAGAACATTAGGAAATGAGGTTGGTGGGAAGTAGAAGCACAGAGGTATTTGGTAAATTGTAATATTTTACCCATTAGCCTGTGGGCTAAAGTTAAAGTGCCATTTTCTCCTTCAGTTGGTGTTACTTCAAGAGAATTATCATAACTCAGGACAGAAAATTAAAGGAGAAAGACTGACTAGCAAATGAAGATCAAGAAAAGGAATCT